GTAAAATTAGCGCTATCTGCGACCCCCCCTTCTTTTCCACCCCCAAATACGACTACCCCCCCCACGGACTTTATCCAACGGACGGTTGACCCTGGCTAGAACTTCCACTCGTGGCAGCTTCCTACTAAACAACCTACTACCGGTGCTTGCCTTTGAAGAGGATGTTATGTACCGAAATATCACTAGAAGTGAGATGTTTAGTAAGAATTTTTGCTTCTTTGGAAACTATTCAACAATGTTTTGTAGTTTCGTTTTCCATGCAACAGGTTATTTGAAACGTGTTTATTGTAATAGTTGCGCAAAGAAACATCGCTGAAAAGAATGAAAACCGTAATCCCATAGTTCGGTTTGGTATAGAAAACCGACACATATTCTCTTGTACGACACGACTACTCTACCGCCCTCAGCTCCTTCCTCGAAATTTTCTTGCCTACAAAAGTGGGGCAACTTTAAATATGAATTTGACATAATCCGAAGAAGAGTTCTTAAGAAAAGTCAACGAGGAGGAGCGTTGAGCTGCTGCTGTGCTAGTTATTAAAAGGGGTTGAACCTTCAAGGTATTCAACCTTACAGTAATCAATTACGAGCACATCAATTACTTGATGATACACGATGTGAAACAAAAGAGGTCGTACACACACGCACACACATACACACGGTAAATTATATATCACACTGTAAATAATCGGCATTTAAATCGGAATAAACAAAAACACACACGAGAGAAATAGAATAGAACCATATATGGTCCCACACATGCACTTGTTGATGGGAGATCGAAAAGTAACAAGAAAAGGGTTTGCTGAAGAAGGTATTTCTGATTGCCCACTGACCACCATTTTTTCTGTAGAAGCAGTGAAGAATGTCAGTGTGTAGGACAGAATACCCTATATACATAGTTGGAGGAAGTTTTGCCGGATTGTGGACTAGCCTCGAGGGCTATCAGAGGTGTGAAATCGTGGCGGATTAGTTGACCATCATGTTCGGCGTGGTGGCGACTGATGACGATGAGGCGTTCGAGGTGGTGGTTGAAGCTGGTGAAGATTGCTGGGCTGGTTGCTGAAATACGAGGAATGAAGACTTTACCTCTTCCAGGGAAGGAAAAATCAAGGGAAAAGTCTCTATTGTTTGCTGTACCTGTGCATGCTACCAGCCCTGTACCTAAATTTGCGCCCTCCCGCGCTATTTTTTCTATCTCATTGCGGTGTCCCGGGCATGACCAACCGTCGAGTTCGCACTTCTCCAAAAATTTTGCGACCCCTTCCCTCTACGGGGGAAGAGTGGGGTAGTGCCGATGCGACCTCCTCACCACCACATCAGCCTCTATTGGGAGGCCTTCCCCAATACGAAGGCCCCCCTTCCTAACCCAACGATCACCCTCACCGTCGTGGCTGTTTCTATAGTATTTGAATCCGAGACCTGGCGACACACCAACTCCGCCCTTTTTTCCAGAACAGATCAGCGTGAAGCAGTAAACCCACGAATTTTACTGTAATAATATACCCTACTTTCGTAAGATCTGGCAAGGACCTGCCAAATACAACCCCTTTTTGAGAACCTCATTCACATTTTTCTCCAGGTAGTTGACCTTTCTACCTTTCTCAAACCAAAAACCCTTCCGAAATTGACCCCCCCCGCTTCTCAAAATCGCAAATGCAACCCCTTCGTTCGAATAGTGCAAACGGCTAGTTGACCCTAACCCCGGACCCAGCCAGCTATCTAAGAATGACTGCAAGGCGAGAGTTAAAAAAACTCAGGTGATTGGTAATTTTTGAAGGAGCTAGTCAGCCCCTCCCGCAGCGCTCGCGGGTGTAGTGATGGGGCGGGGGTTGCGGATGGACTTTGTTGATAATATCAGTTCTGCAATGGGTTCATGCTTTCGCGCAGTGTGCTGTAATGTTGGGCCTGAATCGTCCTTCTCTTCTCCCACCTACAAACTCCTTTTCATATCTTTTTTCCCTTTCTCGGCGACCTCACTATGCTTACTCCATTTCTGTCGGTTACTCGTGCTACAAAAATATTCCTATTGATCCGTGTTTTCGCTCAAAGAGAATGCTGAAGTACTTCTTCTTAGTTTCGTACCGACGCGAGTTCTGCTGAGCTTGTGAAGTTGTAACTCCAGGAGCACTGAGACCAGCGGCTTCTCTTTGACGCTTGAACTCTTCATACTCGTCGCCAAGTATAGTCGCGATTTCGCTTTGCATGAACGCCCATGGCATCACACTGCTCACAAGTGGGCATTTCTCTCCGGTAATGGCAATAAGGTCCTGAATGGGTGAGCACAAGAATTAATTTCACCACCATATTTGTATGAAAAAAAAAGTTTTTCTATATGTGAATAACGTACTTGTCCGGTGCACTGCTTTTTAATGGAGTTACGGGAGCACGGGAAGCAGAACTTGTGAGCCGGGACACTGGGGCATTGCACGAAATGTGTGTCTTCGAGCCTTTGATTGCACAATGTGCAACGAAGAACGCGTTCCCTGAAAACGAATGAGGATGTAAAGCTGGAACTCATAACCATGTGAAGCTTGGAGCTGTAGCTTGTAGCTGTGAGGGCCCAGACTCGTCAACGATGGCTGAACTGACCCGGTAGTGGTAAACCGTCGCCGCTCGGCGTTGATATCAGGATGGTCAGGGCTGTGTGTGGACGTGGGTGAAACGGAGGTTGTTTGTGCGTCTCCTGAAAAGTCTGAATTTGTGCGTCGTCACCATCGGATTACGGTATAGGACGTGTGTTGTGTGTTGAGGTTAAGAGTCAAACGGAGAGGTTGTGCAAGCACTTTGACCGGTTCGCGATCGCGATTCGCGACGCCCGCATTCAACTCACGGGATTTGAGCGGGACGTATGTCAACACGCAGCGCACACGCGGAATTTCCGTAGCAGCGGTTGACCCGTGCGCGCCCCCGCCGTCGGGGCGAGGAACCGGTTCGTTCCCAGGTAAACACCCGACGACATCGCAACCTCGCCAGATATAACAACTAACAGTGAAATGTGGCACAATCCAGAAAGAGCTCAGTATTGCCAGATCAGCTAGGACTAGCACCAGGATCAACAATTGGGATCTCAACTCTGACCTTGGAACATTCCTATGGGCAGCGAGGTCGTTACAGTCGACGACCTTAACACGAGACTGGTACGATCCGCGACAAGATCTCGGGATGAGATAACCCCCACAAGTCAGAGCGCGATCCTTTTGAGATAGTGCAAAGAAGAACTGCGGTCATCCACCGCCGTAGCGCAGTCAGTCACTCGAGCTGCCTGTCGCTCGACGCCTTGAACCCCGGGTGATTCAGAAGAAATTCACGGATGATGTCATCGCGCTAGGCGGTCCTATTGCCCTCGAAACTAGGCGCGTTTTTATGTCGGTGACCTCGTCTGCTAGACAGGGCTCCTTCGCAAAACTGGGGACTCGTTTTTCGGCGGGTACTTAGCCCCATTAGACGCGCTTTGTGGGGTCGACGGACGTGGGTCATCGACAGCACCGTCGACAACCAGTTGAATTGGATTGCGTAACCATTTCGCTGCGGCACTTGCGCGTTCGGATAACTAGGCCGTCGGCCAAAAAGAAGATCGAACCTGAAAACGACGACATTGTGCTATTAGAGACAATGGGGTCACGTGTGACTCCGACCATCCCTGATCGGGGCACGGCTCTGATAAACTGCCCGTCCATCTCTCTCCTTATCTCCGCCAAGCCACTGCGCCACACTTTGTGTGAATACGATTCGTTGCCATCAACACCCCCAGCCACCGCGAACACGGCAGCGGATTTGTAGTCTGACGTTAGCGGAAGACCCATGGGGATGAATACAAATAGGTCCCGGCTGGGTTTCCGGACAGCACGAACCAGCCAGCTCTCCGACACATTGCCTGCCGTTCATTTACAATTCAGTTCTATGCTAATTAAAGCGGGGGATAAGCCAATGCCAAAACGTCCTTGTGTCTGTGCGTCCTTTGTGACGAATGAAAAAATTGACCCATCAAAAATCATCGCATCAATGAGCAGATGCCGTTATTGCAAACGTGGGGTGTTGTCATTTTTTCTTGTTCGACGGTCCCTCCGCGTCTCCTTTCCGAAGTCTCTTGACAATCGCACAAGTTGGGCACCCATAGGGTCGCGGATATTCTCGGTGTCGGTACCCGTTGGCACGAGGAGAGGTCGTAGTGGAGAAACACCGACAAACAGCGAGACGCAGCGCCGAAGATATGCAGAGAGCGGGTCATATCGGGAGACGCAGCGAGTTCATCGAAACCGGTTCCCGGCCAGAAAACCCGGTTTCGCCAACGGCTCTTGCGCAACACACACTCTAGCTGGGGCGAGAGTCATGCAAGACGACTTACAAACAGAAAAAGTAAACGAAACGTGAACAATTCTCTGAGAGGCATCTAAGCGCGTTTGAAGGCGAACAAAACTGACCCCTCTGAACTTTGCCGAATAGCTCGGGTTTCACGTCGTCATCGTGTTCTCGCTTTCTACCCATTGCTGCATTGAAACCGGCTGGTAAAAGTCCGTTCATCAGCTGCGATTGGAAGCCCATTTGAACAGCTGAAAATGAACCCCTTTACATGATTTTTCAAAATTCATATGAAAAGTTCAGGAAACGAACCAGGATGAAGTAATTGAGAATTGATGGGATTTCGTAGCTGTTGAAGCATTGCAATATCCTCGACGGAAAGGCCGGCTCCCTGGCCTCGGGCCAACGAAAACAGCCTTTGTTGCTGAGCCAATACCTGAAGCAGGAAGATGTTCTATACCTGTGCATTTTTATGGAATTCAATTGACTTACATCAGAGATTTGAGCGAGCTGATATGGTAGGCGACTTACATCAGTTATTTGAGCCAACTGAGATGGTAACTGAGGAACATGAGGTTGAGGTGGAACGGGAATAACCCGCTGAGGGCTCAACCGTCCGGCGGTGGTGGTCGACGGCTGCGGAAGCTCTTTCTTGAAAGGCAATATTTAGCAGGTAAACCGTCCAAAAATGTACCTAACGACTCACTTGTGGCTGTCGCGTCGTGGAGACTTCACTGATCGGGAATCCGTGAACCCTTTTCATGTTTCGCGCGTGTTCAATCACATTTTCGATCCTAAAACGATCGATTTTTTTCTTATCAGCAAATCACTGATCAGTGCTAAAACAATGGGGCACGAGACGCTTCTCGATTCAAAACACACACAGCTCTAGGGCCAATTTCACCACGAGACAGCGACCATGAGAGCAAGGGTCGCTAATCAGTTGTAGCACTTTACCCTCTCTCCGGCGGCAATGATAAGGTGACGGTGACGCATTTTTGTGCCTCGAGTATGGCTATGGAGAGAAAACGCACCTATCGGCTCCTTCGTAGTTGACACAGCCACGACACACAGGCTCCACATAGTCGGTGCACATAGCCCATGGCCATCTGGGTAGATCGCAGAGGTAGCAGTGTTGTCGTTGAGCGACTTTGGCGGCGGCATTCGGAAGCCCGGCTTGAGACTGCCCGTTCATCGTTGCGAGCATGCTGCAATCAACACCGTACTTATCTCCCATAACGGTTATAAACCCCCACGAAAACAATGTATACACGAGGCACCTTCCAATCATTTCAAAAAGGGAAAAATATTTCGACCGGGGCCAAGAAGAATACAAATTGTCGCGGACGAAATGTGCAAATTCCATAGATGACAAGCAACGGCAGAAAGAGAACAGTCACGAGTAGCTGATAAGGGACGATAAGATTGTACGCACAGGTTAATTTGCGAATTCAGCGAGGGGAAAGGAGGAGGAATAGAGTAAAAAATGAAAAAAGGAAGAAGACGGGAACAGAAGAAATGATTGTGTGGACGAAAGGGGCGCAGTGACGATGACGCTGTGTCGCTTCGCGTCTGACTCAAACGCTGAATCTGACGATGAATAAGCGCCCAGAAATAACGCCCTAACGCGGCTTTGGGAGTAAAATGCTCGTCCCTGCAGCCACCTCACGCTTCCTCCCATTTTGGCATTTCCCTCAGGAGAATGGATCGCAATAAATACAAATCACAGATGCTATTAGCCAAAGTTATCGAAGCATATTTCAAATAAAAGTGGGTCCGTGAGCCTCCTCCGTTCGGAAGCAATTCAACTGCGATGAGGTAAATTCTCGAGAAGTCGGCATGCATCTCATTAGAATCTCATTTGGCCGTGCATATAATTTGGCCGTTAACATACGGAATACGTGATGAGTCGGTGCGGTGGCTCAATGAGAAAATGGCCTCCTCGCTGAAAGCGTTATGGATTTCCCTGCTGGGTACTGAACGAATATGGCAGGACTGAAGAGAAGAACACAGCGATCTGAAACGTCCAGGAAACTCTCAGGGAAATGGTAAAATCAGGTCGCGCGCAGGAGCGATGAGTAACAGATGCGGCTGAGAGCGCACGGGAGGGGGGGGGGTTGATTTGGGTCGCGATGGCCTGGCGATTAGCCCCGACGGGATGACGCGACCACCGACGACCTCGGATCGTCCCGTTGGCCGACGAGAGCCCGAGAAATTCGCGTCGGCTCATCGGGTCCATATCCGGTAGTGATAGCTTTAAGCTGACGGGAGAGAGTTCACTACACTGATCGGCTGATAGTTTGTTGCGCTCTCCGTTCTTATCAGTGGGGGGAATTCCACGCCTTCACGGGGCGAGGCGAAGCTGATAAAGCACACGCAGCAGCAGCATTCCCCGGCGCTATGAGAGGAGAGGACGTGCTCTTTGTCATTGCAACACATCATTCGATTTCAGTTTAGTTCAAAGGGCAATCAAGGGGATGGCTTTACTGAAGACAATGAGTACAAAAGTGACACGGGGGTTCTGACGAACGCCATTCACAAACAGCTACGAATATTTATGAGAATATGAAAATACGATATTGTATTCGATATTGCCGCCAGAGATATTCTTGGGAACATGTGACGCATCGGCAACAAGGCAACAGAATGCTTCGGCTGACGAAGTGCTTAGTGGCGTTCAAGAAATTTAATCTATTCCACCGCCGCCTAGTACGGCGACTGCATCGTTCGTTTTGGTAGGGGAAATTTTGGAACTTTTTGAATGAATGGCTAGAGGAGAAATGATCCCGTTAAGGCCTTGAACTTGAGAGATCAGCAATCGCTGGGCGAACGCAGAGGAGCGAATGGAGCCCGACAATCGCGTGACATCTGGAACACTGCTGCTGCTGGACCGACGAAGGTCTCCATTATCAGAAACGGGGAGAAAATTTGCTGAATGACATTTTGGAGATATGATAATGGAAGATAAGAGAGTAAAGGGTGTTGCAAGTACTGCAAATTGGACTCGCAATGAGGAAGAGGCCAGTGAAACTCGGGTATGAGATGAATTCACGTAACAGACTGCTAAGGGCCCGGCTGTGCGGACTAAAAGAGGAGAAGGACGAAACGGCGACGCTCGACGGGCGAGTGACCAAACAAACGCCATCAAATACGGAAGTTCCGTCAACAGTTGTCATATGCAAACATCAGAAGTCCATAGATATGCAAAGAAGTTCAGCTTTTCAATGACCATGCGCGACTTCTGGGACAGCAAATGTCACAGAGAAACTTGGACGAGAACAAAAAGACCAACGTTGTCAGTCAGGAAAACTTTGCTGAGAAAATACTTTGGTTTGAGGAAAACGTCGCTGAGAGAGAAACGGAGGGATGGCACGAAGCAACTCACAGCGGCATCCGCGACGATCTCGATCGAAGTTCGCAAACATGCGACAAGTTCAGGCGCGGCGGTGAAGGGTTAAGACGTCGAGCAGTTTTTTTCCATCCACAAATCAAGCAAAGCTTCCGCAAATAGTTCAAGCAAGAAAAGAACTGACACCTCCCAGACCGGGTCAACGGCTTCCGATCAAGTGCGTGTTCTGGTTTCATCTAGAAATAGAAGCACAATGATCTTGAGGAATAATTTCCATGAGAGCAAGGGCAAGTGGCGGGTTTTCCAGGGAGTATCGCCAGTTAGGAGCTGTAGAAAACGGTGCCTGTAAGTGCAAAGTATGAGCTTCAGCGGAATGGGATCAAAGAATCGTCGCTTCCAAAGAGCATCGAACACTCCTATGGAATGCGCCGAACACACATCTTGATCTTGGAGATGTCACCGAAGCCCTCCTTCGCGAAGCGTCGGCTAAGCAACCGTTCAGTTACACAAAGCAGCTCCGATAAGAGACGTTTTTTGGATGTGCTCATGGATGAAGAGAGAATAAGGAGTTACCCTACCGTTTTCAAGTGATTCTAGTAGTTCGAGTGAAGAACTAGCCTACAAAAGTTGCAGTGACTTTCGAGACGTTTCGAGAGTGGCGCTTAAAAAGTCGGTCAACTTGCAGGTTGAGACCTAATATGTGGTCACAGGATACCTTCTAACGACTTTCTGAAAACGATAGTAACCGGTTGAAGGAGGCAGTGCAGTGAGAGAAAAAGTTCAAATAAGACAATGGATCGATGGGTTGAATACGTAACCTGACCGCATTCGAGAACGGGAAACCTGTGAAATTCTAATTTGGGCGTGTCATTCGGGTCTATATCGAGATGTGTGGCGTGGTTGCCACACGACTTCGGCTCCTGTCCATTCCATCCGCCGACTTCGCCGCCATCAGTCAATCAGCCAGCCGGCCAGCCAGTCAGTCAACACTATCGCTGCCTTGGGGTTATCGCTGGCTAGAAGTGTCGTCGACGATAACGTGGAAAGGCCGATGCGACGGCTGTCACCTGCTTATTGTAGAACTTCCATTGTAGACGGCAGCAGCTTACCAGAATGGATCGCTTTTCGTCCTTGATTTTTCGTCGCGTCGAATTGCGAACGGTGAGAGTCGAAACAGGCGCAGTTAGTATTGTACTTGAGGATTGTGTGTGTGGGGCAGAGATACTGGTTCCACTTCTCGCTTTCGCCTGCCTCTATTTTCTACACTACCAGTTTTGCCAGGAACGGGTTGTCAAATGGCTCGAGTCGCCCCCAATACAAAACGACGATGACGATGGCACCAACGGAAGGAATGATGATGAAGGAACGATGATGAAGATCGACGAGGAGCAGAATCCAAAACACTTCTCGATTTCTGCTGATTGATCATTAGTGGGCGTAGTGCCTCATGGCCAATATATGAGCGCAAAGATGAAAAAGGCTGAGATGAATGCCGTTTCCTGATTAGAAAGCACCCTTACCCTCACCCTCCTCCTTTCCCTCCTCCCACCTCTTAGAAATCAAGCACTGGTTCAGCGCCATCGGCTGAACGCCTCGTGTTGACCTGTTTGTAATAAAGAAAGGCGTAAGATGTTGATGGGACTAAAGTTCACTGGTAAGGTAGGAACAGGCCTTGAGGGTCGCGAGCTGGATAAGGATCCAACAAAGGAGGCGTGGAGAGGTTAAGAAACTGAGGAGATGCAAATGAACGAGTGCTCGACACGGGATGCGGGCGGTGTTATGACAAAGGTCAAATGTAATAGGGGGAAGTGGCGACCTTGTAGAGACCGGATCCTGACTGGTGCGGACTGGCGCCAACGAGAGCGGCAGAATTAGAGATGCAGAGACAATAGATGCAGGTATCAGACGAGTACCGGCGATGCATGCAGAGAGACCGGTAGAGGTGTGATCGTCGAGAGAGGTCTTCCGACGGAGGCAGTCGCTGGGTGTACGTCTTCGTCTTTGGGAACGATCTCAACAAAGGGACCTCCAAAGGCTTCATCTGAACCTCAAGGCTTCTACGGCCCCCCTGAATCCGCTAGCAGTAATCTGGAAAAGCCTTTCTGTCATTCTGGTGTGGAACTTAGGCTGTGTCGTTGCCTACCCTCCTGTCATTTTGCTACCTCCAGCCCGGACACACACACCGGTTTTTCGAACGCTACACAATGGTAGTTGATAGATTTGAGAACCACTGATGATGGGAAAAAGGGGCGGCGTTCAGTAGGCAATGCTGTGAAGCCCTGCCTTGTTCAGAGTAAGTCACCGTTAATGCGGAGATATGGCTGAGTTTTGTATGTGGTAGAACTGTGAAGGACGGCACGCTTTGGCCTTCGTGGCCAACCACAAAGCGTCGCAACTCGGCGTTTCAAACCGCTGCAAACTTCTCATTGACGAATTAGCCTTCGGTCGGTGCACTTTGAGGAGAATGACCTCCTTCAAGGTGACTGTGACGACTCGTTCTTGCTGACCCTCACCGACGCCTCCGTTGATTGTCGCCCACAAAGGACAGGAAACAGTTGCTTACAAGGGAATAATTGCTTCATCAAACTGGCTTATCTTCAGGGACATGCTTTGTCCCGAGACTCACGGTGTTCGCAACACCATACAATACATTCTACTGTCAAAGATAAAGAGTGGGCGACAGAAAATTGTCGCATGGGCTCTTTGGTCTTCGATGATGGCTCCTTCCACACCTCAGCTAGCAATGGCCGAGGCGTCCTCCATAGGGTGGTTGATGGGGTCGTCGGGCGAGGCGACTCGCCACGACAAAAAGCGTCTCCTCGTCGTCGTCGCTGTCGTCGTGGAAAAATGCGCATTGGACGCAAAAATGCGTGCGGCGCGTATTCAGA